GTTTCTCGCAATAAAGTTGAAGAAATTGTGATATGCTACATAATATGTAAAGAATATAATAATAATAATATGTATATAATAAGTAAAAAATATTGTGTATGTTATCGTTAAAACGTTCGTTACAAATTAGTTTAAACAAAAACCTGTAAAATAGCCTTCACATTGAATCGCTACGTCGACTTTTGTGCAGTGCGCGCGCGCATTTCTAACTGCTCATTAAAAGCATACAAATCAATTAATTAATTCACTAAATTATCAATTACAATTTCTTAAATAATATATATATCAAGTATATGTATAAAATTGTGAAAAATATATGTACAATCAACGTTACACAATTAGAGTGCAGCTCGAAATCAAATAGCATAACAAATATAGATACATACATATAACTAAATGTTGTTTGAAAATTGAATTGAATATGCCAAATAATTGTCGTTGTTGTTCAGATTGAAATGAAATCGGGTGTATGCACAAATCCATATATAAAGAATAGAAAACATTTGGAAAAAGAATAGAACAAAAATCGTATAGAATGTTGTCTGGCTGGGACAGGTTCTATAGCAACAAATATTAGCAACATTAGTATACGTAAAGGTTTAACAAATTATCACACTGAAAAAAATTCAACACTAATTTTAAATATATAAATATACCCATATACATTACTATATATATATATATGTATACATCTGTATAAATGTGTGTGCTATATGCTTAAATAGTTCGTTCAAATTGTATACGTTTTATCATTGTTTGTTTGTTAGTTATTTTAGTTAATCATAACACTAATGCCGTTATAATTTAAAGCCGATCTCGCTTGTTTGTATAAATATACACATATTCATATACAGATACATCTACATACATGTATATATTTGTATAATTATATTATCTTTAGAGTTATACTTATGTCCATAATAAACAACAGCTTGAAACGTTGCGTTATCTATATATAAATATATATGCATGTACACGTATATATATATATATTTATACACACATGTATACATATACAAATATGTTTTTTGTATATATAACATCTTAGTCTACGTTTTATGTTTAAACGTAATAAATATGTTTTTTTTTTCTCTTGTATAATTTTTAGCAGCTTTTCAAAATATTTAACTATAGCTTGTTATTTTATACATAATTTGTTGTTATTTTTTCCTTTTAGACGAGGTTCCCATTTTTTTTTTTGTTTTTTTTTTTTTTTTTTTCCTTACAATTAATATTTGCTAGTGCTAATAATAAATATATATTTAATATATTTTAACGTTTTGGCTTATCGTATAGTGCAGCTAATATAATTTAAATTTAACATTTACACCTTCCTAGACGTTCGTTCGCTTTTGTTTAAATTTTCTTGCAAGCCTTGTGAAATGCTGCGACTTTCATTTAATTTAATTTAGTTTAAGTTTAATTTATTTAGTTTTCTTTTTTCACTTTTAAAGGGAAAACATTCTGAGAGCCTTAAATGCGTTTGAAGAACATAAATTGTTGCTGTTGTTGTGGTTGTTATTTAGAAGTTGTTGTTGTTGCTGTTGTTGTTGTTGTTCTTGAGTCCTGGAATTGCGGTTTAGGTGCCTTAGGGTCACCTCGATGCGCTGCTTGTGAAGAAGTCCGCTGTGAGCAGTTGAATAGAGAAACTCAATTGAAATTTGGAACATGATCAAGTCGATTTATACTCTCTACTCACGCGTCTCGAAGCTGAAGCCCAGCGTTGGGTCTGGCGGCGTATTGAGCATTGGATTACCGCTGCTGCCGCTGCCTGTGGGCGTGGCATTGCCCATGGAATTTGTACTATTGCCGCTACCGCCGCCGCCTCCAATCATTGGTCCCTGCTGCAACGGACTCTGCGGTGTCTGACCCCGCTGCGCCACGCCCGCACCGCCTACGCCAACGCCAACGCCCACACCGCCACCCGTCGCAGCCGCCGCCGCCTGATGAGCGCGCACACTGACAACGGCGCGCAGCTCCTGCTTGACAAAGTCCGAGTTGACATTTCCGCCAGTCACGCCTCCACCGACGCCGCCGCCCCCATTGCCAGCTGCAAGAATTGAAGAAATTTATAGAATTAGACTAGATTATCGTAGGCAAATATTGTGCACCCACAACAAAAAAAGGTTTTTAGTCACAATTATTGTTGAACTTAACTAGACATGGAACATAAATAAATACACAACAGACAACAGAATACAACATATACATATATATATCGAGATATAGATAAAAACATAAATGTTATACATAAAATATAATTAATAAATATAAAATCATATCAAATAATATGCAACACTTAAATATGAAGACTGGTTCTGTTCAGGGGTTGGGGCTGGGATTAGGGTTGCAAATAAGGGTCGTACAGATATATATAGTATATATACACTATGCTATATATGTACCATGTGACAGGTTTTTTGTATTGATTATAATTAAACATAACATTTAAAATATTTATGAGTTACTCAGTTGGACTTTTGTTTGTTAATTTTATTTCTGTTTATAACTGTTTTTCACTTTAAATTTAGTATAATTTGTTATTCATTATTATAATAAATTTAAATTGTTAATTAAAGAATAAAATGAATTTGTCTAGACTTTCAGCTTAAACCTGTAAATGATTTAAGACCTAATAATTAATTATATTTTTATACAATTAAAATTATTTATTT